CTTGATAATGTAGAGTGAATTTTGAGATTTGTCGTAAATTATGACGTTTAAAATTCACTAATAACTCTTGAAATTCAATGATACCTATAATTGTCAAGTGATTACACACATCCGAGACAAAGAGTAGGTCTAACATGATCCAAGCTTCAATATCTTCCTCGCCAAAAACAAAAGAAAAAGAAAAAAAAAAAGAAGAAGAACTTTTTAACTTATTATTGATCATGGCATGAGGGCTATTGAGTATGTGGGTTGTGGTGTTAGTCACTTGGCCAAATCTAATTTCAGCTTCTCTTTTTTTTCGATAATTAAGGGTGTTCAGTCAGTTTAAGGGTGTTCATGACTAGGGTATTCATAAAAGATAAATCTTTCATGATTTAATCATATGAAGTTGTCAAAATTCAAAAATTTAAGATATTTGAATTTATAATTTGTCATCTGTTACGACTTGAATTATTTATGAGGAATAAATCTTTTATGATCTGATTATATAAAAAAAAAAAAATTCGAACTTAAGATATCTAAATCAACGGGCCGTCCATGTTACTGCTAGCTTCATCTTTTTTTTTTGGCTTCTTCTCGTCTCATTCTGCGCGTGCTTTGTGATGGTGACTCGACTGTCATGGCATTGTTTTATCCACTAAAGTGGTATTGACTCCGAGGCCACATTGCAGCCTCAGGGTGAGTATTTACTCACTTTCTCTCACTAGTTGCTATCTATCTCCCTCACTTTGCACCACATTTCTAGGCTTTAATTATAAACAAGCCCTTGTCCTATGTCCTTTCAAACTGTAAAAGCCTATGAAACTTATTTGGACTTAGATTTTTTGTTGTCTTGGATTCTCATATGACATGATTGAAGATTACTAGTGTTTTTGAGTATAGTATGATAACACGGTTTCTAACTTTCTGTAATTAATTATCTCTATTTTTTTTTAATTTAAGTTTTATAAGAGATGTATTGAATACTTGGGTATGCGTAATTAATATATGATTTGTGTTTATCCCAAATTTACGTAGCAAGTACGAGTTCAAAATATTATTGTTTTGATTAAAAACAAAACGATCAATTTAGTGAAATTGTGATAATTCAATGGATCGGAGAAAAAATTAGTCATGCAGAACATAATAGAAAGACAATATACATGTAGAGTTGAGTTGCGATAGGGTTCGGTAATGAAGATATTTATTATGATGATTAAGGCAGCAACTAATCTTGAAATTGAAAACCTTATTGGATATAATCCAACCAGTATTGTTGGATGAACCTCTTGACTATTACCACCTAAGTGTTCTGATTCTTGACTGCAAGGACATGGGGAAAATGAGATATATGCTTAGTCCTACTCTCACACAGAAAGATTTGGTTTTTATAATTTGAATTCGAAATATTTAAATCACAATAAAATGATGTTACTAATGTCGTAAAACCTCTCAAGAATCATAGATCATGTTTTTGGTTTTTATAATTTGAATTCATAATATTCAAATTACAATAAAATGATGTTTCGAATGTCGTACAACCCCTCAAGAATCATGGATCATGCTTTTGGGTTGAAATATTGCCACACCATGGTTGGATACAACCAAGTATTCCCTTCCTTGCAAATAAGAGAGAGAGAGAGAGAGAGAAGCCTAATTGAATAGGGTCCATGAAAGAAGCTCCAACATTTAAATGGTGTTTTAGGCTACGACACTAGATATCCATGTAGCTTTTTTTGCAATACCCATCAAAATATGCAGCTTAGAAGGTTGGAAATTTGTTTATCTTAAGTTTGGTACCCAACTCACATTTTAATCGTAAGCCAATGAGGTATCGGTCGAACTTCTGACTCATAAGTTGGAGGTTCGGGTCTTAAAATCTACATTAGAATTCGGTGATTGACCGTTATCCTGACCTAACTAAGTTCATTCTCAAGAAGATTAATGAATACAATCAAAGATCTCATAATCCCACCAATAAAAGTATATTGAGTGGTCTTTTTAGGCAAATTTTTTTGCCTCACTCTTTTTTGAAACAGCCTAGCCTATCCTAGTCTATCAGGTGTCTTAGAGTCTACATTGAAACTTGGTAGTTGATCATTATCCTAACCTAACTAAGTTCCTTCTCAAGAAATTAACGAATATAATCAAAGACCTCATGATCCCACCAATAAAAACCTATCAGATGGTCTTTAGGCATTTTATTTTGCCCCACCCATTTTTGAAACAGCAAAACAAAAAAAAAACTCATAGTATAATCTTTCTCCATTGATCTAGTTAATATAAACATCTGAAATTAATAGTCAAGTAATATATATATATATATATATATAGAGAGAGAGAGAGAGAGAGAGAGAGAGGGATTAAAATAAGAAAATTATAGTGGCTACTAAATATGAAACGATTGTGAAACCGTTTCGCCGCATTACTGTACTTTAATTTTACTCTATATTTCTCATACGTAGAGTAAAAGCAATTTGAGGTTTTAGGGGTGGCAACAAATCATAGTTTGATCTGTTAAAGGTTATGGTAATAACTGTCATCATCAAGAGTCTAATGTTCTTTTGTTAACAAGTAATGTTTCTTGTAATGTTTTTTTTTTAGGTTATCCGTATTGGAGAAAAAAAAAAGTATCTGTTAAAACGAACATGGAGATTATAAGAATGGGAGAAATTTCAGTTACGTTTCTTTTAGTTTATCATATCTTTAACAACAGTCTCTGTATTTGTTGAATCTTCACTACCACCCCGTTAGATTAAAAATGTTAATTAGAATGTACTTTTGCTAAATTGTCCATGATATATTTGAGAAAAAAATTTTTATTCACATTTCCTCTAGATAAACATATCTTCAATGAGACTCCCTTTATTTTTTAAATTTATTTACCTATTAAAATTCAGACGGATTAAAATTCGATTCGAACTAATTAAAATTCAAGTCGATTAAAAATTAATCATTTTTAATCGGCTCAAATCAAATTTTAATTAACCCGCATTGAATTTTAAATAACCAAAATTTCGATACATAAAAAAAATATAAACTTTAATCGACTCAAATTTCAATATGTAGAAAAATGAATTTTAATCAGAACGAATTTTAATATGTAGAAAAATAAATTTTAATCGGTTCGAATTTTATGTAAAAAAAATTATTTGGGGTTGATGTAAGGACATTTTTTGTATTTTTGATGAATTGTTTTTTTGGGTTAGAAATTGTGCTTTAATGACAAAGTGTGTCAGTAATGTTTAAATATAAATTAGAAAGGATATCAATGATATTTTTTATAATAGAGATATATTAAACTAGAAGAAGTGTGATTCTAGTTTAAAGATATATTACACTAGAAGGAGTGTGATTGAATTTTTTTTTATAAAAATTAATTCATGATAGATCATGGGTGATTATTATAAATAATAAGAGGTGCAAAATAATTTTTCATTAATTACTCCCAAGACTAAGAATGTAGAAGGGTTATTTTGCAATTATGTAAGTTTAGACCCTTTCATAAGCAAGTGGGGTGATATTTCGGCAGCTTTTTTTGTACTGTTGTATTTCTCTTATCTCCAATCTCCATCAACCCACCCC